CCTGTGATTTATGTTCTCATCATGGTGCTTATCATAAATAAGATTATTGGAACTATGCCAAACACACCTGACCCAACAGATCAGGCCCATGCTAGCAGTAACTCATGGCACCTTCTAGAAATACCGTTTATTGTAGAGGACTGAGATTCTTAAGTTCTTTCCCAAAGCCGTGTGACCATTTCCTGCTTCGTGCCGGTGGTCGTACTATGGAGGATGGAGAAAGGTGTTTCATGGAAGTGAACTTTGGAGTAACTCAAGTTTCTTCTCTTGGTACCAAACTTTAAAAAATTGTACTATGAACAATGGAGTTTTTTTTTCTCACATTAGAATGTGGGTAATATCCTTTTTCTTCTGGATGATCAGGATAATTCCTCTACCTATTTTTGTACCACACGGGCTTGGGGTTCGGCCTCGGGGTTCATAGAGCTTCTTGGTGTCCCGGTCTCTTCGCTTGGCTGTTTGTCAGCTCCTGGTTGCTTCTGCCCTCCGCCCCTCCTCCCTCCTCACAGATGGTTGTCTCCTCCACTGTTTACAGTGGTGGTCATAAAATTGTATTTCCTAATGAGAGTGTTATGGACATAAACACCATTACTTGTACTTTTTTTCATTGTGAATTAAAATCATGCAAGTTCCTCACAAATACAACTTTGTTTTAAAGAACAAGAACTGTACAGAAACATAGGGTAAAAAGCAGTTCCTTCAAAGTGTGTTTTCCCACCTACCTTGTCTTAATCAGGAGTTTCCAGAGAGACAGACCAATAGAGTCTGAGTATCTTTAGGTATCTGTATTTCTGTCTATATATCTCCATATGTTTTTAGCTAGAGACACACAAATAAGTGTATCTCTAGCTAGCTCTATGTATCTATAAAACAACTGTATGTAACTATGGAGACAGACCTAATACACACATACAGATTTTTTCTATTAAGGAGTCGGTTCATACAGTTGTGGAGGGTTGGCAAATCCAAAATCAGCAGGGTGGGCTGGCAAGCAGCAGACGCAGGGAAGAGTTGTAGTTCAAGTCCAAAGGTGGTCCCTTGGCAGAATTCCTTCTTGCATAGGGGAGGTCTGTCTTTGTTTTATTCAGGCCTTCAACTGATGGAATGAGGCCCACCCAAATCATGGAGAGCAATCTGCTTTACTCAGTATACTGATTTAAATGTTAGTCTCGTTAAAACAAAAAACAAAAAACAAAACAAAAAAAAACCTTCACAGAAATATCTAGAATAATGTTTGACCAAGTATCTGGTACAACATAAAATTATGACACCTAAAATTAACCATCATGTACACTCTATTCCCATTTCTTTTACAGAGGATGTTAATACTTTGGTGTAATTCATCTAGATGTTTCCTGTGCATTTTCTGGTTGTGTGTGTGTGTGTGTGTGTGGTATGACCTTTCTTCCTCCTGCCTGCATCTCTTTCATCTATCAATACAGTAAATGATGTTAAAATCCTGATGTTAGAGCCTCCTTTCTTAGTGAGAGGCATGGGGTTTGGGTTTGTATATTTTCATTTTTTGATGTGCAGACCCTTACAGTTTTTAAGCAGAAACATCTCATTATTTTTGTTGTAATTGTGCCATTTCTATGGTGTGTAGCCTTAAAAATTAAGCTTGTGTTTTGAGGGACTTGAATTTCTAGCTGATGTCGAAATAGAAGTTTCCCATTATAGGTAGTTTACTGAATTTTTCTTAATAATCATATTTTATTCTCATGGACACTTGGTAATTAAAAAAATAACCAGTCTATATGTGGCTTAGGGACCATCTGAAAATGGGCTTCTGTCAGTTTAGCAAGTGGTTAATATTTATTTGCAGTTGTGACAAGTCTTGTTGTGGTTTGTCTCGGGAGACCATGGTTTGAGGGTGCCAATAGACCGCCAGAGCGTAGGGAATGAAGGTTATTGTTTTTAATAGTAATTAGCCAGTCAGCCCCTGTTGGGACACAAGAGGCATCCAGTACCATTTTATCCTGAGCTCTCAAATTTAAGTTTCTGTTTTTTCCCCGATCATCTTCATTTCTGACCTAAGGTTGTGCTGAGATTTCCAAGGTTGCTCTCAGTAGCGGTGTGCTGCACGTTTTGGGATGTCTTACCTTAGGTGGTCAGAAGGGGCTGTGATTCCAGAACGGACCCTCCTAGTGGTTATGGTAGCAAGGGATGGAGGTGAGCATGATAGAGAGAGAGCGTGGAACCAAAGTCAGGCATCAGGAGCGCTGGGAGCATTGCTTTATTATCCGCTGATGGAAATTCCTCCTTTTAACCCAGGGTCCTTAAGTAAAGATTGGATGGCCAGATTGGCAAAGGTGGGTGCTCTTTGGGATGTTTTTGAAGGACAGGTTTTTCAATGTGTGTTCTAGGCTTTCAGATTATTTCTTTCCTTTAGTCCAGAAATCCTACTTCTAAGAATGTCTCCTGAGACAATAAGGAATGAGATGCACAAAGCCTTAGTTCTAGGGGTTTTCATTATAGTTGTGACTCATAATAGGGAAAAAAATAGGAAATTGATCTCCCCATCCAAGAGTAGGGATGCATTAAATTATGATTTTGCCCTTCTAGAATAGAATGTTCCACATCTGGTAGAAATGTTGACACGCCAGTGTTTTGATTGATGTGAAAAGATGTTACTGATACAGTCCTCATTGAAACATAGAGCAAGTAATCCTATTTGGGTATAGAAAAATGTGCATGCATGCATGTGCGTATATCTGTGTGTTTGTGAGATTGTGTGTGTCTGGGTAATTTTTTGTCTTCTCTGTTTTCTTTTCTGTAATAAATATGAGCTTCTTGTGTCGTTATGTAAGAAGCAAGATGTTACACTGTGTCCAGCATGCCTTATTTATAAGTCAGGAAATTGTCAGACACTTGAGATAAACCTCCAGAATGAGATTCTGGTGCCTACTGAGTGGAGTCACAGGTTTTCCAGACCTCTTAGTGTCAGTGAGCAGACACGTTGGTTGGGAGAACGCAGATGTGGGTGGCAGTGAACTCTGGTTATCACAGACACTGAAAACCTGGGCTCACGCGTGCTCTCTTCTCTTTTAAATTAAGTTATTGTGAGCCATTTCACGCTATGGATGGAATGACGCACTTCAAAGAAGGCGTGAACTGGGGCATAGGAAATAGGCTTGACTGTGGTCGCAACATTATAGAGTTCCTTATGCTGCGGAACGGATGATAGTATTAAAAGGAAACTCTGGTCATCTCTAAAACTAAAAATTCTAATATTTGTGATTCAGTGTTCTTTTGGGACAGCAACCAGAGCTTATTGAGATAAGAAGGTGGGATTGCCCGTGCCTCCTCCTTGTTCCATGAAAAATGGCATTCTTGTTGGAAAGCTGGCCCACGTAGAGCTGGGTCAAGGTGGAGTTGCTCTAAGCGCGAGTGTCCCCCGTGCGGTGGTGCGAGAGCCTGGCAGTGCTCAGTGTCACGTGATCCTTAGCTCTGGATGGCCACATCTTGAATTTTAGTGTGTCACCAAATCTGTGTGTGCGAGGACCCTTAGATCGCCCACCATTCAGTCAGCTCAGTGGCTCCAGCAAAATACCGGAAAGTGGATGGCCGATCAAACAGCAGAAATTCGTTTCTCCCCGTCCTGGAGCCTGTAATGTCTTTCTCCTCTGACACCAAATGCGTGTGGTTCTTCCATCCCAGTTCTCCAGTTCTCTGACACCAGTGGTCTCCAGCAATGCCAGGAATTCTGACCCTAACTCTCCAGTTAGTGCAGACCCACAGGTGTGGGGCTCCGTCCTGCCAGTCTTGACCCAGGGGTCCCCCACTGATCCAACGGGCTACAAATTTGGGGATTCCCACCCCATCCCGCCCTCGTGTTTGATGATTCACTAGAGTAACTCACAGAACTCAGGAAAGTGCTTCACTGGTGACTGTCACTGGTTTATCATCAAGTATACAAGCCAAGAACAGCCAAACGGAAGAAGTGCTCTGAGCGAGATATGGGAAAGGGGTGCGGACCTTGTGTGCCTTTTCTGGGAGAACCCCCCTCTCAGTACCAATCCAGAAGCCCCCCGAACCCCACTGTTCAGGGGTATTTGTGAAGCTTTCATTAAGTGGGTACGATTTCAGTCATTGGCTGTTGGTGATTGAACTCCGTCTCCAGCCCTACTCCCCTCTCTGGAGGTGGGGTTGGGGGTTGGTGCAGAGAAGCGGCAAGATCTGACCTCCTGCTTGCGTGGCGGTCGGTCTTTCTAGAGACTGGCCTCCGTCCTGATGCTCTCAGCACCCTGCCCCCCCACCATGTGCGTCGTCTCATGAGCATGTAAGAACTGCAGTTTCTAAGTGTTTTCAGAGCTGTGTGCCAGAAACTGGGGACAAAGACCAAATATTTATTTTTAATGATACCATCCCTCCCATCTGGTCTCCCCGTAACCAGACTGGTCTCGTACACTCTGTGTCCATCCTGCAGCTGGACTTGATGAGGGCACCTGACGACTAATCGCTCAAAACTCGGCCTGTCTCAGGGTTTGTGCTGTGGGCTCTGGGCTTCCGATGCCCCTTGACTTCCTCCTTCCAGCCCCCGGGCCTCCCAGGGGTGCCTTCCCACGGCCCTCGCTCTGCCTCACCTCCTGCCCATCTTCATCTACTGTCCCCTTCCCAGGGAGCCCCCGCTGCGCACTCTATTGGAGACTGAGCCACGTGTCCCCCGCACTCACAGCCTCTCTTACCCTCGTCTCCTTTCTCACACGCTCTGTCGTCACTCTGGTGGCTCTCTAGTTTGCTCTGTCCTCCCGTTAGAAGGTACACCGTACAGGGCAGGGATCTCGGTTTCTGGATGTTTCCCAGGCATCGTGCCCTCTCTCGTGGGTAGCCCTCTAAGAACACTGGAGAGTGAACAAGTGCCTGGCTTATTAAACCGCCAACCAGAACCGGGCCCCGGGGTTCTCTGTGTCCCACCGCGGGGGGACAGTGTGTGCACGCGGGGTCTTCGGTGGTGATGCTCGGGCTCTGGCCCTCTGACCCGCTTCCCTCTTCACTTCTAGACTGGCCTTATTGTCGCCTGCTACCATGGCTTTGTGGATACTGTGGTGGTCTTAGCCGAGTGCCCCCACGTTGATGTCAACTGGCAGGACAGCGAGGGGAACACGGCCCTAATCACAGCCGCGCAGGCAGGTAAGACCCGGCTTTGCCTACCGGAGGCTGGGGGGCAGCTGCCAAGTGGTGGGGGGTGGCTGGGGGGCAGGGCTTTGCCCTTGAACTCAGCTTGTGAAATCAATGTAAGGACGGGAATTGATCAGCTCTTTATTCTACTGCTAGGTGGCACAGGAAAGGGCTGGTCAGGACAGGGATGCATTCTCCTTGTGCCTTGGGGACGATGCAGTTTGTGCAGAGCTCACTGTTGGGCACGTGTCACCCTGATAACTCCCCAGCATCTTTGAAGGTGAAGCTGCCGCAGAAACCCAGGCTCGTCATCCCTTCCCCTAGAGCATCGCGCCTACCCAGTGCTTGGAGATGGGGAGCGGAGAGATGCTGGTGACCTCCCACCCTCGCTGGTGATAGTGACTAGATCCCATAGACAGGTTGTAAGTGATGGTTACTGGATCTGCTAGACATATTTACAAGGTAACCTTCCACTTGCCCATGGATGTAAAAAAAAGCCGGGAGCTGCTTGTCTGGAGTGTATCAGTGTAATGAGGCGGGATTGCACTGTTCGGGAGAGAGCGTCCCCCAAAGCGTCCTTCAGCCCAGGTTTGTCACCGCGAGAAGTGGAACTTCTGCTGTCACTGCCGAGCACCTGGTGGCTGTCCTCCTCTAGAACTGTCCTCGGACGTTTTTGGAGACAAGCCTGTGCTCGTCCCTCTGGACCACATGTCGCTTGTCCTTGGGGTGTTAAGTGGGTTTGTCACTTGACCACCTCGGAAATTCTTGGCTTGCAAGATCAGTCGGTTTGATGAGTCAGGCTCTCAGCTGCAAAGACGCTGCTTCCCGCCGAGTCGGGAAGAAGAGGTGTTTGCTTACTGACGGAATGTAGGGCGCCGTGCGATGGCGTGGGGAGCCGGGCCTTGGACTCCAGGCTGGGAAGCTGGAGAAGATGCCCCTGACTGCACTGCACATTGATTCTGGCAAGAGCGTGTTTGCTGCCACCAGCAGAGAGAGGCCTCTCTGTCCCACTGGGCATCACAAGCTCCTGGGTCAGAGCCGGCACGAGGGTGACTCTGACCCGGGGAGCCCAGCAAAGCGAGCATCTGGCAGCTTCACTCCCTGTAATGTCAACAGGGAGTGGTCTGTACAACTGCTTTTTAGTCAAGCTGGGGGAGGTGGGGGACCCTCCCGAATTAGGGGGGACTAGGCTGTGCCAACACGCATCTGCCTCATTGGGTCTTAGGGTGCAAAGCTTTGCCTCTGTGGGGGTACTCCAGGCTCCGAAAGCTGAGATCCATGATGTCCTGAAGTGCACGAGGTGGAGAGGAAAGCGGGGGGCATCCAGTGATCCTGGGCTCCCCGTTCACCGCCTCCCACTGGCCCAGGAACTGGGGATGCCCACATGAAGGGCAGCCCTGCCCTCCAGGAATTCCCCAGCGCCTAGGCCTCTGATGGAGCTCTGATGGAGGGGGCCCCCTGGGGCCGTGGGCATGAATACCCCGGCTGGCCTGCTGGTTGAGGGCAGGGGTCATGGAAGGGGGGACTCGGGGACTTGAACCAGGCACTGCAGGAGTCAGAGGGAGGCTGCTGCAGCTGGGGCAGCCAAGTGCATGGGGCGAAGAGGGAGCCGGGCCTCTCTCGGGCCGTGTGGTGGGAGGCTTCCGTGTGACTTGGAGGGATGGTAGGTGGCTCCAAGAGGAGTCAGGGACCAGATCGTCAAGGGTTTAGATGCAACATGAGAGAATGCTTTTGAGTGCCATGAGGCTGGGTGTGGGTGACAGAGGCTGGATAGCCCTCGGGGACCCAGGAGCCGTTTCCATGGCAGAGAGGAAGCAGGAACTGCTTGGCCAAGAAAGTGGTGTGATGTGGGGGGGGGGCGACAGAATGGTGACCTCTGGGCTGGCTTCTAGCGACTGGATGGGGCATGACGAATCCCCGAGAGACGTATGCACAGTGATCGTGGAGGAGTGCCGGCTCCGTTTGGCGCTCAGGGCTTCGAGACGTGGGGCGTCTAAGAGGCCTCGGTGGCAGGTGGGGGGTGTGGAGCTCCAGGCTCCCATGTCCACTGGGGTGCAGAGCGGAGGGCTCGGGGGGCCGCTGGAGAGTGGGGCCCGTGGCACGGGCTAGACATGAACACCAGGAAAATGTGCAGGAAACGAGGTTTCCTTTCTTACGGATTTGCCAGAACTCTGTGTGCATTAAGGGTGTTGGCTGTGGTTTAATGCCCACGAGAGAACCTTCTGAAATCTTGCCCATTTGAAATAATAGGATTAGCGACTTGTCCTTTGCCTTTTCCCCCCACTGAGTGTTTCAGGGGAAGCCCGAGTCCAGCCTCCTTTTGTGTCTTTGTTGAGGCCCTGATATTTGCCGAAACTTGGAAATATCTCTCACCTCATCCTTGGTATTGAAAATAACGCTGCCTCCCCTCCGGCCCCAGTGGTCGTGTCTCAGCTCCTCTCTGCATTTGTTGTGACTTACATTCGGTGTATTTTTAGGAAATCTCAGTTCATCTCTGTGAAACACTGTCTGCCTTTTTTTGTTTGTTCTTCCTGAGACTCCCTCTGAGACCCAGAGTAAGTCGCCCGGTCCTCACGCCGCACCGTCTCTCTCATTTCCCCCATCCCTTTACTCTAAGATCTGGGCAGATTCTGCGCATGATATCATTAACGTGTTTCTGTGCCACTCAGCGGATTACCTTTACTTTATTCTTCTCGAGCATCCCCGGGGTCAGTGTGTTCGGGTTACATAACAAAAGTGCCACATACTGGGGGTATTGTACAACAGAAATCTGTTTCTCATGGTTCTGAAGGCTGGGAGTCCAAGGTCAAGGTGCCATGCAGGGCATTTGGTTCCTGGTGAGAGTCCTCCTTCCGTGCACAGGACCCCTCCTTGCTGTGTCCTCCCGTGGTGGAGAGAGAGAGAGTGTGTGAGGTCTCTGGTGTCTCCTTTGATAAGGACACCTATCCTCTTGAGCCAGGGCTCCTGGACCCTAGTGATCATCTTTAACCTTTGTCACCTCCCCAAAGGCCCTGTCTCTAAACACAGTCAGGGCTCAACAGAGGAACTGGCGGGGATCCAGAGGTTCATTCCTAACACTCGTCCTTCCGCAGGGGCTGTGATTTTCTGGAATTGATGTACTTTAAGTCACAGCTGACATAGCTCCTCTCGGGGTCAGAGAGAGGCCCCGCAGAGGGAGAAGCAGCAGGTGCCTTCTGGGCCCAGGGCCCTGGGGCCAGCGGTGCAGAGGGAGAAGCTCGGGGCTGAGGGCAGCCCAGCAGCTTCTCCCATCCCTGCTCTGTCCCTGTGGTTGCGTGGGAGACTGTAGCGTGGTCAGACCATTAGGATCACCGTGGCTGGCATGTGTGTCATTCTCTGGGCCCCACACGTCGGGGTGTTGCGGGGAAGTGTCCGGGCTGTGACCCCTGCTGGGTCGTGTGGGACGGTGGCTGCCCCGGTCACTTTCTCTACTTGGCACCGCCGCTGGTCTGTTAAGTTATTATAAAATGTAATACACAATGTTCTGAAGAAAACCACATAAGCAAGCGGAGTTAAACACAGAAAGCCGGTCAAGTTCAGGGTGAAATCACTTAGCTCCTCGGCCCCAGGGCCTTCCGGTTCTGTTGTCTGGTGGTGACAGTTGTGAATTTGATGGGTAAAGGGAGTCTCTTCCCTCTTCAAAAAATGTGTATTATTATAATGTATTTTCTTTTCTTGTTTTTAACTTCTCTTTCTCCTGGGGTCCAGATCCTTAGCTTGGTTGCTGATTGGCTCAAGCCGTGGCTGCGTCTGGCTAGGTCCTGGGCGCAGCCTTTTCCCTGGCAGTCCCCCGCTCCCTGCACCTGGGCTCTGACCCCTGGGACGCCCACCTCAGGCCTGCTGTAGAACTGAATTGTTAAGGGGAGATGGGTGGGGAGGAGTAAGGTGTTTTGTTTTTGTTTTTGTTTTTGTTTTGCTACTTTGAAGAAATCTGATTAAAAAGCACTTCCTTGTTTGTCTTAATTGCTTCAATGGGAGGAAGTGATTTTTTCCCTAATTTTTTCCTTTTTTTTTTTTTTTAAGAGTTTATTTATTTGACAGAGAGAGAGAGAGATCACAAGTAGGCAGAGACTCAGGCAGAGAGAGAGGAAGGGAAGCAGGTTTCCCCGCTGAGCAGAGAGCCCGATGTGGGGCTCGATCCCAGGACCCTGGGATCATGACCCCAACCGGAGGCAGAGGCTTTAACCCACTGAGCCACCCAGGCGCCCCTAATTTGTTTCTGAAGGTGGTGACAGGACCTCCCAGGGCTGGTTCCTCACTGTGAGCGCCAGCATCAGCTGGGGGTGGCTAATCTGTGTTTTGATGCAGATTTGGTTCAAACAGGGATTGTCCAGCTCTGCCCGCCGCCCTGTCCCCCCCCAGTTTCAGATTGAACGGGTCTAGGGAGGGGCCTCGGAAGGCGCATCTATACAAGCTCCGGCCCATGCCCCCGGCGATGCCCATGCCGCTGGTCTGGGGATCCCGCTTTGAGAAGTGGAGCCTGGGAGGGTCTCATACCAGTGGGGTGGCTGGGGACGGCTCTTCGTGGGTACCCAAGGCTGGGGAAGTCGCGCAGCCCTTGGGATGTCCGTGGGACACGGAGCCATCAGGAAGGTGAGCAGGAAGACTCGCCGAGGATCTGTTCGCGCCGCTCCCCGCCACGGAGGACAGGCTGTTTGGGCTATAGCCGAGAGATGGTCGTGTCCCATTTTAAAAAAAAGATTTTGTTTATTTGACAGGGAGAGACATAGCGAGGGAGGGAACATAAGCAGAGGGACTGGGAGAGGGAGAACCAGGCTCTCCACTGAGTGAGCTGGGAGCCCGATGCGGGGCTCGATCCCAGGACCCTAAGATCATGACCTGAGCCAAAGGTAGACACCCAGCGACTGAGCCACCAGGCACCAGGTTGTGTCCCATTTTAATCCAACTCCATAACCAGTTTTACTTACTGAATGGCTTCTAAATTCCAAAAAGCTGTCTGGGGATGTGCGCTCACGGTAAGAAAAAGCGCCGCA